GTAAAGAAAGCAAGCTCAGTACAAACTGAGAGAGGGGATGAAATGCAACTGCTCAACAACAGCCAAATCTCTGAACTCCTTCTAGCAGGACACTGGGGCATCTGCCATCAGCAGGGGAAGAAAAAGGAATAGCTCTGTACCTACAGCAGCCCCAGAGGCTAGAGGTCAAGGGATAACATCCTTGTCTGAACTAGGAACAAGCACATACGGACACACTGCATACCGTAGCTTTCACAGATGAGCTCATACTTCCTGCCAGCATCTTCAATGAGCTGCAGCAGCTTTACAGACTCCCTCTTGTCCTCTTCTTTGTGGTAGTTCAGCCCTAGTATTTCCAGGACAATCAAGACACCTCCGATCTCCAGTAATTCTATAAGGTATCTGTGTCTGCAAGGCTAGGGGGAACAAAGCCAAAAGCATCGCCTACTTCCTCTGTCACCACATCATGCTCCCAGGAACCATCACCTCCTGCCTTGGAGCGCGGGTGCCCAGGCAGGGAACACCAGGAGGCTTAGCCTGAAATGCAGAGGCAGATGCCTGCTAACAGGAGGCTTTGCTGCCAGCAGGTCACCAACTCCTGTTTTATCCTGTGCTCATTTCAGAACCACAGGCAGAGAAGGCTCCATCTCTGCACTTGGACTCTCACCACACTCATTCCACATTGTGTCACTGACCCGATGGCTCTGGGGATGTGCATAAGCAGCGGATTTGGCTTGGAAAGCATTCCAAATTCCTACCAGAAGCCTCACTGAGGCTTGCCTTGCCTGAAATTCTTACACAGCTCTCACAAAACATGTCCAGAGACTTGTTGCTTTATCTGCTCACCCTTGTGTGCCTTCCCCATGCACCTCTGATACAGTGACATGCCATACTCACCCGCTTGCAGCAGATAAAAAGATGCCAATGGACCTGAGCAGTTTGTTGAGGCATGTGCTGTACGTGTAGCTGTTTGGCAGGGTTAAGGAGAGATCTGCAGACCACTGTGGTGTCCCACAGGCCTCCTTTGGTGGTGTGGAGGTCTGAATTGCCTACTCTGTCATGTGACAGTGCATGGACCTTCCCCTCATCCCAATATGAGAAAAAACACTAATTCTAGGTCCCTGAGAGACAGGTTATGTGGCTCTCCCTTTAGTTCCATCTTTGGATAGACAGAGATATTTAACCCTGCAGAACACAGCTGGATATGGATATCTCCATACAGAAGCTTACTCTTTAAACAATTTTTTGGTGGAGAACTTTCCCCTTCTCTCCATCCCACTGCCACCTCCAAGGAAGCAGATACGTCACCTTGAGCCATGCTGCTGGCTCACTGGGATAACTCCAGCTCCAGTTCTGGTTCTGTCTTGCTGTCATTGCTTTTAATGAAGTTGTCCAGTATGTGGCTTCGTGCAACTTTGTGCGCACTATCCCATTCCTGTAAGAAAACCATGAGCCTCCTGGTGGCTTTCTGCTCTTTGACAGAATTCATGATCTCTTCTGCCTAGAGAAAAGTCAGAAAGAAGTTAAAAAAGGGCTTAGAAGATAGAAGAAGTCGGTACTAAGGAGTTTCTACCAAGATCAGATTTAAAATCTCTGGCAAATAATATGGAATCATTTAGGTTTAAAGCACTTACTAACCATTAATTTAGTCTCATTATCCTTTATACTAATTTCATAGATAGAAAACCTGAGGCGAAAGGATAGTTCTGCTGTGTCTGAAGCTGCACAATGAATTTGCAACAGACTTGACATTATTTTCCAGGGCAGGTGGCTTCACCACAGGAGCTCTCTTCTCTGCTCTGTTAATAAAGTCATTTTGATGTTACCCATTACCCCAGCCTTGGTTTCTCACTAGCCTCATGATATGAAAACTGCATCCCATATCTGACCTGCCACAGAATAACTAGGGTGAAATGAGATCACAAATAGGTATGGATTTATGGGGAGTGACAGGGTCAAGGGGCTGTAAATGCCTGTTAGCACAGCAGCGCAGCGTGCCCTCATTTGTGTGACGCAGTGACAGTCATTTGGACTGGGTCCACATCCACTCCAGGAAGACATGCTTGTTCTTGTCAGTGGGAGAGCACTTTGGGACCCTTTGGCACAACAGATATTTGCTCTGTTTTTTACTTAGCTAATTGCTATGGCATGGTTTTAAACAATCTAAGAAAACCTAAAATTATAAGAACTATAGACAAGTTGACAGAAAGTCCAGAAACATCCCTTGCCTGCACTTCCTTCCATCCCTTCATACAGGTGTTAAATAAAGCAATCCATAATTTGCCCAAATTCTTTCGCACACTTTTCACTCACTATGGTATATCCCCTAGTCCAACTTGACAATTGTGAAGGTACACTTTGTAGAGGAATGAAACATTAGAGGATTAAGTTCTCCATTCAGGTAGATGAGAATTCCACTGATGTGTATGTGTTTGGCCTCAAGAGACTGACCAACCTCAAGGAGCATTGCAGTTAAACACCAGTGTCTGTGCAGAAACAGGTGCAGAAAGAGGGATGAGGTCACAGACATCTACATTAACACAGGTATGTTGTCCTCCATCAAGGCATAGCAACATGCTTGAGGATGAGAAAGGAATTCATGTACTATCTAATACCAGTCTGGAACTTCCTACATAAGAAAAGCACCATTTTAGGTTCTATGTAAAGTGTGGTTTAGGAGGAAAAAAAAGGTTACAATGACACAAAATCTTCACGTTTCAGAATAAGAAGTTTCTTTCAATGCAATATAAGTTACCAAGATTACCAATTTCCTATCCACAGAGTTCTTAAGCTTTTTTTTCCCTAGAATATGGAGCAAAATTCCAGATCAGTTCCAGAATATCCCCAAGCTGCTCAAAAGTAACTTTCTATTCCTATTACCTTGAGCAGACTGAAAGCAATGACCAAGAGATGAACATGAATCTCAGTACCTGAAAACAGTACCTGAAAACAAACAAACAATGTCTTCAAAAAGCTGTCTAAGAAACAATGTTTGAGAACTTAGACGAGATGAAATCTCATTTGGGAATTAACGGTCTGTGCTCTGTAAGGAGCCTGTGTCCTTGGCAGGGCATTTTCAGGATCTCCTTTGCAGGGAAGCAGGTTTAAAATAAATCCATTTTCCCCAAATAGTTGTGATTGAAAATGTTATTAGCCATAACAAATGTTAGTGCTGACAGGAGAATGGCCTGTTAGGGGCCTCTGGTAAAACAGTCAAGTGAAAGTCATATTTCACATTACTGCGAACATTTTCCTGTGATTTACAGAATATTTGTGAAACATTACTTGCAAGGCATATGATTGATATTGAGAGAACAGCTAGTGTGTAGGGGGAACCTGTATTTCACAGCGCTGTTTGCATGAAATTTACAGTCCCATAAAGTGCTCCTCTGTCCTCAACAGAGATCTAGTTAAAAGAACTTTACAGTCTGAAACATCCCAAAATTGATTCTAAATTAACGTTTCCATATTTATGTTGAAGATGCTGGTGGTGTAATGCTATCCTATTTTTATTATAAAGCTGCAGTAAGCCCTCCACTATTCAGAAATACCAGCACCAGCCTCTAGACGTGAGGATTTTAGGGATACGTAGGGCTTGCCTATGAATCAATGGCAAAAAAAAAAAAAGTTGGAAACAATAACGTGAGGCTTCTGAGGATACAGTGGTATCAGTCCCTGGTTGCTATAATAACAGCAGCTGCTGACAGAGTAGTCATTACAAGTACCCTGAAAATGTACATGAATATTTTTATGATGACTATTTTACATATGGGAACATACAGATGGATACATATGGGAAATGACTTGCCTGAGTCGTTTGTCACTGCTAGTCTCAGCACGTAACTGGCTTCAGACTCTGCTCTCAACAGTGCTGGGCTGCCACCCCAGTCCACTGGACCTAATAACCAAAACAAGGCTGGGTCAGGGCAGAGCTTTATTGCTGCCAAGAAAAGGACAAGTGATTTAGCAACTGGCTCTAGCAATTCAGCAGTTCTTTACATCCAGAGTGCTGCTAAATCATCAGATTGAGATCAAAAGACAGAGTGGTATTGCATCAGCCTCAGCCTGAGTGTGAGGTGCCAGGGACTGACAGCCTTGAACTCATGGAAGGACAGAGTGACGGTGATTTGGCACTACCTTTGCATCTTGCAACACTAAGACTGTGCCCAGCCTCAAGCAAAGCTTAGCGCTTGTATTTCCCCAGCAGGTTTCACCCCCTCCTGCCAAACCTCAAGTCCCCCACAACCCTCCTCATACACAATGCACCTTCCTCAGTACACTCCAATGCCTTCCACCCAACCCCTACCCGCCCACAGTCCCACTGGCCGCTCCCTCACAACACATCCTGCCTCCCAGCACTACTGTTAACCCCAGCTACCACCCCAAACCTAACCCCTGCACTCCCCTCAACCCCAGCCAGGCCCTGCACTGACCCCTACATAGATCCCAGCCCCTACCTGCCCTAATCCACTGCAGCCTCAACATTCCCCACTCCAGGCCTGAGCCAGCCCAACTACACCTCAAAACCACCTCAGGCCCTACAGTCCCTCATGCACTCCCTGTCCCCAGGGGCTCCCCCAGACCCAAACGCCCAGCTCAGGACCAGCAACCCCCTCAAGTCCCCCACTCCCAACCTATCCCCCAGCCCCTCTGACCGTGTCCCGACCTCCACTCCCTCCAGTCCCCCGCCATCCCGATCCTTCCAGGCCCTACACCCCCTAACGGCAGCGCCCCCCTCGGCCCCCCACTTCCCCTCAACCTCCCTGAGGGGGCGGATACCCGCCGAATAACTGACACCTCAGCCGAGCCAATCATAACCCGCTTTTACCCCTCCTGCCCAATGGGAGAGAGAGTTTACACCACAGTGGGCGGGGCTTCCCCTCCGGGTGCTAAGGGCGCGTTGCTAAGGAAATGGGGGGCGGGAAGGGGAGGGGACGGAGAGCGAGGCGGGGTCCGCGCTTCGCCTTCCCATTGGCTGCGGGGCGGGGCTGGGGGCGGGGCTTCCTGTGAGGGCCAACGGAAGCGCCGGTGGGGCGGGAGGTGGGGGTCTGTGGACGCGGGCGCCAGCGGGATGGAGGATGCGGTGGTGGAGCTGGCGCCGGGGGACGACTGCGGTGAGGGGGACAGCGGGCCCGGGGGGGCTCCGAGGGGAAAGGGGAGGCGGGGGGACCAGGGGGACCCCAGTGACAGGAGGGCCGGGGGGACCCTAGAGGGTGGAGAGGCGGGGGTCGGGCCTGGGGGGCTCCCGGGGGTGGACGAGTGGAGCAGGCCTCGTTCCTGAGGGCGGACGTTGGGGACCGGGCCTGGGGGACCTGTCAGGTTATGGGAGGGGTGGGAGCCGGGGGGACACTTGTGCATTAGGTGTGTGATCGGCTGTGGAGGGCAGCGCAGGACACTCTCCCCCCTGTAAGTGGTCTCTGATGCCTCCCCAGCCCCTAGGAGGTGTCTGTGCCCCCCGTAGTGATCTGCACACTGCTGGTTATTCATCAGTGGAGAGCTTTGGGAAGCTGCAGGGATTGAAACTGTGCTGCAAGTCCTTGTGAAACTGGGATGGGGCAGTGTGCATAACTGACTGAGAAATTAAGCTAATACCCAGTTCACCATTACCTTTAAACTTTATTAAGCAAGTTGACATAAGTTCTGATTCTGGTAGACGGGAGGACAGTCATTTGAAATCTTGTGGTTTGTTTCAGAAAGCAGTACCAAGAGAGGGCATGCAGATGGTCAGCCTGTGGTGATCCTTCTGGGTTGGGCAGGCTGCCAGGACAGATACCTGGCCAAATACAGCACAATCTACAGCCAGAAGGTGAGTACCTGATTCATATTTTTATGACAGTCATGCAGCTCTCTGACAAACTGCCTCTTTGTGTGCATGTTGGTAAAATCACTCTAGAGCCTCTCTTAGTCTGAAGAGTCATTGGGAGTGAGTGGCAAGTTCTGTTGTCATTGGAAACTCCTTGTCTCTTGGAGCCCAGGCAGCGCTACCTAACAGTGGCTGATGTCATCTCTGTGTGTGCAGCTGAGACAAAATTACTGTCTCAGAGAAACTTGTGTGAATCACTGGAGTATTTTTAGGCTTTTGAAGTTATTCAGGAATGATACGAACTATGTTAGCTTTCCAAACAGGTAAACATGTGGGGAAAGATTATGGGTTTATGGCTTCCTAATCGGTCACAGCACAGACTTGGTGAGGCCAGGCTGAGGATTGACAGAGCCTATCAGCGTCTGTCATTTGTTTGGCTTTTGCTTCCTGTGAAGGTGATTCATCTAAATATTGTAATGCAAATTCATTTTACCCTGTCTGTGAAACAGGCATCCTATAATAATCATACCTGCTTATTGGGAGCTCCTTGTGTTTGAGCTGGAGAGGTCTGTGTAATTGCTAGTTCTGTAAGTTATAATATTTTCTAATACTGTATTGTACTGGAGTGACCCCAGCTTGTAGATCCAGTATTTATCCAGATCTGTTTCAGCTATAGGAGGTAAAGTTTGTACATTAACAAGATTATTGTTAATGTGTAATCTAGTGCAAGAGTCATTAATTGCCTTGTTCTAGTGAAGAATTAATTGTGAAGTGACTGTTGTGACTAAGAAATGCTGCTGAGCAGATGGGGAGCATGTTACATGGCAGCATAACTTTTTAAAAAACACTTTTCTGTCAGAAAGATGACACAAATGGGAAAGGAGAGAAAGGGGTTTCTTAGCTCCCTAGCAAGGAAGTGGCTGCAACCATGGTAGGACTCTATAGAAGACTTTGATTTAAGAACTTGATATCCCCTTCTTTGTTGTTCACTGCTTATGGAGCTCTGGGCCAGAGGGCTGACTTGGTGGCTTTGGCTTGTGTTGTCATTGTGTAATGTCAGTGAGTTTAGGTGGTAGAAAAGACCTAAAGCATTTATAAATGTGGTGCCATCTGCTTTATTAAGAAATTCTGCCAAGACCCTGTTTCCCAATCTACACCTAAATGTAAGGCCTTAACTGTAAAGGCAGTTGGTCAGGCATTCTGAATCTCTGAACTACTGCTCTTCATTTGTACAGCTGGAGCACTTCAAAAAGGCTTATGAAAATCATGTCAGTGTTTATTGTGGGTGGGTCTTGGAGACAGCTGCAAATAAGTACTACCCAAAGACAGGAAGAAGTTCCTTCTCCTTCTTGCATTTGTTTCAGTATCACGAACTAGATGTGTACCAGAGCAGGCCCCTCTTACCCAAATGGCTGATACTTATGGTTTGTAAATCAGAGAGATGGTTTTCTCTTCCTGGGTGAAGACTAACACTTGTAAAACCTCGGGTGGCAATGTCCACAGGGGCTGTGCCAGTTAGTACAAGATCTGAAAGGATTTAAAACATTATCAAATCCAGGCCTCTGGTACCACATAAGCCTTTTCATAATACTGTGTGCTGTTATGATTATTATAATCCTATTCATATTGGTGCATTGCTACAGATACTGAAGACTTTCTTCTGGCCCTGTAGTTTCTGTTGGAAACCTGTCCCAAATGTTCATGTTCTTTGTGTTGATGCTTGCCTACTCCATGTAATTTACAGCACAGCCTAAATGTCTGTGGGGTCTCTTTCTGTTCTTCTTAGGGGTGCACTGTCATCCGCTACACAGCTCCATGGAGGATGGTATTCTTCTCTGAGACCTGTGGCATCAGGTCCCTCCAGACCCCAGCCAAGCGACTTCTGGAGCTACTCTTTGAATACAGCATTGAGAACAGACCAGTTCTTTTCCATGTTTTCAGCAATGGTGGTGTCATGCTGTACCGCTACATCATGGAAATGCTCCACTCTCACAAGCAATTTAAAGACCTCAAAGTAGCAGGCACCATTTTCGATAGCGCCCCTGGCAGAAGAAACCTGAGAGGAGCCCTTCGTGCCTTTGCAACAATCCTGGTGTCCAGGAATGTGCTGCTCAAGTATTTCCTCTTATTTGCTTTTGCTACTGCAGCTGCTGTGCTGCGAATCCTGCTGTACCCATTGACCCGCTTCATCCACAAGAGCCATTATGATGTCCTGCTGAAAGCACCCTCACGGTGGCCTGAGCTTTACCTCTATTCCCAAGCCGATGCCATCATCAAGGCCAGCGAAGTGAAGTCCATGGCTGATGCCCGTCAGCAGCTTGGTGTCTCTGTGAAGGCTGTGGACTTTGCATATTCAGCTCATGTTAGCCACATGCGGGCATATCCCACCTATTACAGCAGCCTCTGTACGACTTTCCTGTCTGACTGTCTTGAGGGCTCACCTCAATAGAGTTATAATGACCACCAGTGTTTGCCTCTTTGCTCAGTTTATATGGGAAACTTCACCCCCTTTGCCTTTACATGTTTGGAGGGAGGGAAGTTGAGACTTATTAGCTGTTTGGGTTGGTTTTTTCTCTCCACCATATACAGGTTTGAAAGCCTCTGTGTTACAGCAGAAGGTAGATAAGGATTAATTTAAAGTACTGAAGGTGAAATCCTAGGATGGTTGATGTTGATCTGCTTTGATGATGGCACCAGGGTGTCAGAGGCCAGAATTTCACACAGGTGGTTATTTGTTTCTTCCTGTTCTCCTGTTGTTCTCTGCTTTCCACGTTGTGTCCTTATTCACTCATGTTCAGTATGCATGGTCTGTTGCCTTGTGCTGATTTTACATGTCTTTAGCTGTTTTTTTCTTCTGAGCCATTTCTTTTACCTCACAGTGAGCAAACAGAAGCAGCTGTGCAGGATTTGCCTCTCTTGGTGCATCCTATCTCTTGCTATACTGCTTGCTGGAGTTCAGGCCCAGAAACCAAGTGTAAGACCTGGAGAAAGTGTGTGCAGGGCAGTGTGGCCATACTATCATCTGGTTCCACTAAATAGCTGAGATAGAGCATTCAAAGCTTTGATCCTTGTTGAGAGCTCAAATGTTTGTGATAACTTTTGTGGTTTTCAACTAAAACATGTAAGTTAACCTTTTTGAATGTGTCTTGTGTTTGTTTCTCTTTCTTCCAGTCTTTTGTGTGTTCTTCTGAGTAGTTTTGCTTCCTATGAGAACTTCTGATTTATTATTGTGGGTCTTTGAGCAGCCTATAGTGTGCATTGGGAAATGCAGGGAAACTGGCACAGCTGTAACCCCAAATACCATAGAAACAGAAAGGTGGAACTACAGAGAAAAATGAAACTGTCTCTTGGAGCGATGATTTATGCTGGCTGTGTCTTAAGTCACTTCCAGCCCACAAATGACTGTGACTTTCAATGTTTTTCCCCATAATGTTCTCTTCAGATGATCAGGTTTTGCTGTATGTGCAGCATGTACTAGTAATACAAGAAATTAATTCCACCTAGTGAAAAAGTTGCTCATTGCACAGCTCTTCAGCCACGTTTGGTTTTGGGGTTTGTTGTTTCTTTGTGGGAGAAACAGTGATAAAGACAGAAGAGAGCCTGCTAGTATGTTTACTTCATGTCACAGCATTGCCAGTTAATTAACCTTGTGGTGGACAGGATTAGCCAACTTTAAATTCCCAGTCCAAGATTGCCAGAAACAGGCTGTGGAGGGCTGTGATACAGGCTTGTTTGAGCAAGGGCCTGCCCTTGTAAAGCAGGAACATAAAAAGCACGAGGGTTTTCATGGCTGTTTGCTGCCTGTGGGCTGCTGTGCTTGTCTTTCCCACCCTTGGGATGCTGGCATCCACAATTACAAGGCACTTGCTGTTCTGAATCGAAATGCAGAGAGGGAGCTCTCTGTGGAAGTACACCAGGGTGGGTTGTGGATGGCAGCCAGCACGACTGTTTTTAGCAGGCTAGTGTGGCAGCATTTGTTTAAAGTGAAGAGTAACCCCATGTTGGGCATGGCTGTAAAGGATGTACTGGGGTAGGCAGGTGATAATTAAGTGAAAAGGTGTTGATGATAGCTTGTTTTATCTTCAGCTTTTTTTAAAGCAAGAACTGGCTCCAGGCACAGGAGTCCTTGTTGCTCAGGTTGTCTTCTGTACTTGTGATCCCAGTTTCAGCTGCCACTGTGAAGATGCGCTGTGATTGCTCTGGGTAAGATAGGTAGATAGCTTCAGCCTGCTGCTTCTCCAAACCCCCTAGAGTTTCGGCCTGTAGAATCCAGGCATGGTCCCCTATACCCAGAGATCAGAGATCTTGCAGCTTTTTAAAGCAGGCCCTTGGTTTGTGCTGGCTGTGCTGTAACTCCTGAGCTGTGCTCTGCCTGCCTTCCCAGGGATCTGGGCTGTGTCTGCTAAGCATCCAGCCCGTTTGTGGCACTGGGAAAACTCTTAGGGAGTAGAGGTGATAAAAGGTTATTTAAGTAGCGCTTGCCCTCATGCTGGTTTCTGTGGGTTCAGTATTTACAGAACAGTTAAACACTCCGTAACATACTGGATTAATGCAGTTGTGCTGGGCTGGGAATCTGCTGTTCCTGTTTATTGCTGTGGGTGTTGGAACTTCTCCTGTTTAAGGACTTGGGCTGTTGCAGAGCATGGCTGGCAGGAGCTGGAGCTAAACCCTCTGTCCCTGTGCAACAGGATAGCGAGGTTCCCTCTGGGAAGAGCCTCACCAGTGTCAGCTCCACATTCACCTCCCCACCATGGGATTGCTGCTTCCCTAATTCAGTACAGCTTTGCTCCAGCTCCCCACTTTCCACAGCAGCAGGCAGGGAGCAGGTGCCGGAGCTCTGCAGTTGGAGATGCCCTGGGCTTTACAGGTGGGAACTTGCTCATGGGCATTTCCACTGCTCAAACTTGACTTGGAGTTCAGGGCTAGTCAGTGCACACACCTCTCTAAGAGCAGGGGCTTCTCCAGCAAGCCAGCGATTTACAGAGGCACCATCAGCATCAATATCTCCTGGGTGGGTTTCGTTTTCTGTGTCCCAGCTAGTTTTAATTATGCTTATGAGCAGTGTGTTAAATGTACTGTCTGATACATCACCTTCTTCTTGCCTATACAGTATGTATGCTCACAGTCCCCTTTCTGCCCTCTTTATTTCTGTTGCTTGTTATTTAAAACAGAAGGTTAATAACTTGGAGCCTGAAGGCACACGGCCAAGAACTGATCCAAGCACTACTGGATTTAAAAAATCCAGCTTCAGATGTTTAATCCTTGCTAAACTGTCACAGTTTGGTGCAGCCTGGGTTCCTAAAGAGCTTCAGCCCGAACACTGAAAGCCAAAGGTTGGGATATCCTGGTAAATCCAAGTAAATATCTGAGAGGAGCTATGGGAGGGTATTTATTTCAGATGTGGTCTTTGGGAGGAAAAATGCAGCATCCCTGGGCTTGCCTTGTGGGATGGGAGCAGGATATGGCACGAGCGATCTCTGCTGGGGGGGTGCCTGTGTAGCCAGGGTGGCCCATGGCACTGGCAGAGGCTGCGGTCTGGACTGGTGCAGAGCAGGGGCATGATCCAGCCCAGCCAGGGGTCACGTTTTGGAGCAGGAGGGAGCATCTTGCAGCACAGCTAATTCAAAGCAGCCCCTTGAGCAAAGACTTGTGCCTAATAAAGGTGTTGTTTTAAACCGAGTCTGTTGTTGCGTTTTGTGCGCTGAGCTCCCATCTTCATCTGTGTTGGGACGTTGCAGACGTAGGTCTGCCACTGATGGAGAAATGTGAATGGCCTGAATGGACCCGAGCAACCCAGCTCCATCTGCTGCTTGCCAGAAAGAGAAGGGGGGAGGCGTGAGCCTGGTTTCCATCCCCATGGGGATGATGGAGGCCAGAGCTGGTAGGGGGTGGCCACAGCAGCCCTCAGGCTGGGGCGTTTGATCCGGGCAGAGCAGCGTTCCACGAGGTGGCAGCAGCCGCTCTCCTTCCTGCGTGGGGAGATTCCCACCCGAGGAGACCCCAACCTGAGCGTGTGCCTGGGAGCATCTCCTGCGAGAAAGGCCCCTCGTGAGGCAAGGAAAAAGACCAGCAAGAGCAAACTCTGATGGCGAGGAGTGGAAAGGGTGAGCTAATAGAGAACAGCAACAGGCCCTGGAGCTGCACGCCCTGGGAAGTTGTACTTAGGTACTGTTTCTTAGCTTCAACTGAACATAAACTGGAATCTTGATGTCAGGAATAGCATTACTGCTCTTCCCACATCAGGAGGTCAGGTTGCACCTTCCCTACCCATCGCACAGAGAGGGCTAACTATTCTTTAAAGCAAATCCATACAATATTGTGGTCACAGACCATGGTCCAACTTCTCGAAACCCCACAAATCGGGACTGTGGAGCTCCCTCAGGTCCCCTGTAGCCCCCAAGCCCTGACGAGGGACCTGAGCTTAGCACTGCTCTCTAAAAGGCTGGTAGGACCACACAGCACACAGGGCTGGGGCTTGGAGGGCAGTCAGGAAACATGACAGCACAAATGGGGGCCACAGGCACTATCTGAACCTCCCAATGCAGCTCCTATGCACAGCTCCTGCACCCAGCCCAGGGCAGGGGCTCACCAGGCAGCAGCTCACTCTGCCTGCACAGCATTTCCCCATCCCATTGCCCTTGAACTTGAGCCCACAACCCCTCATCTCTACATCCTCACACGGCTGGAAGCCCACCCCAGCACCACTGGCCAGAGATGGGTGGCCCAGGCAGGGCTGGGGTGGGCAGAGGTGTGCACAGCATCCTTGGTCACCCTCCCAAACCTACGGGGGGCTGGAGGAGGGAGAGCTTGGGCAGCTCCTGCCCTCCCTGGGTGATGAATGAGCTGACAATAGGGTATTGATAAGGAATTAACCTTGAGCCCTTCTTGCTTCAATGTCAATAGAGCAGGAGCCAAGTACACACGTGTGATTGGAAATCCGTGTTTGGCCTCTGCCGCCTCTGTGCCCGTCGATGTGCAGAGAGATGAGGGCTGGGGGGGGGAGATGTAAACCTCCCTGCTGCCACCTCCCCAGCTGGAGCCCCCACCAGTGGGTCCCCCTCGGCTCCCCAAGCCTGCTGCTGCTGGGTTGACCATGGACACTGTGGGGCTGCAGAAGCCTCTGTGTGCCCCCACCCGGCATATGGGGGGCTGGATACCACAGCCCCCCCCCCCCCCAGCTCCCCCAAAGGGCCTGGGCCCATCCTGCTCCGGCCTCCATTCGGAGCAGTTTGTTTAATTAAGTGTTTTGCCTAATGGGATTGCCTCATTTCCATAACAAACTGGCGGGCTGTCATTAGGTGGGCTCCCTCATTCATTACTGTTAATTAGATATGGATCCCCCAGAAGGCGGCGCCGGGTGATGAACGAGGCCCCTGACACACGCTATTACACATTAGCATTTTCTCAATACCTCTGATACATCACGGGCCTCCGCTTCCTAAAGATATCCTAAATAAAATATTAGCAGCCTGCTGCGGGGCGGGTGCAGGGGAGGAGGGTGGGTTCCTGCCCCTCACCCTGCCCTCAGGCCTCCCATGGGCTGAGATGCTCTGCTCGCTCCCTGCCAGCCAAATCAGCGGCCAAATCAACCCCTTTCCCCATCTTTCCCACTGCAGTTGGGAAGAGGTCCCTGATGTCCTGCTCCAGGGGACTCCCAGCACCCCATCACTGTGCATGCAGCCATGGGGGGGGGGTGGTGGTGGGATTAAACCACCCCATTGACCCATCTGCTGGATGTTTGTAAACCAAAAGCGTCGGCGCCAGCCCCGTCCCTGCAGCCTCCCAGTGCCTGTTGTTGGGGGTAACCCTATACTGCGGCGGTGGCCCCTAATGCAGGACGTATAGATCTGTTGGGGCTGGGCGCCTCTGGCCCCCAGCTAATGCAGCTGATGAGACTTCATTACTGGGGTGTCCCCTGAGGTGTGCCCTTCACCCTGCCCCTCCTGGCACTACGGGTGGGGGGGACACACACCATCCATGGTGGGGTCTGGAGGGGGTGCTGCTGCTGCATCTGTCCCTGCATCCCAAATAGGACTGGGGCTCTCCTTTGGGATATTGCCAACATCCAGGGCTTGTGTCTCCTCGGCTGCCTCTCACCTGCAAAGGGAAACACAGAAAGGCAGAAAGCGCCTGAGAAGATTTATACTTGTTTAATTAATGTCAAATGTAGTTTACAAACGGGAGTGACAAGTACCTTTTTGTATAATATACACTGACACACAATCATCGACACACCGGAATATCGCTTTGTGCAACTGGGATTCTTTGGGCAAAGATAGGTAACTCCAATAGGTCTTCTTTTCTTTTTTAAATCATTTCAACTCATTCCAGAAGAGGGGAAGTGGCGGATGCCTGTGACCAACCTCTCTCCCCAGCCTTCCCCCTGCAGCCCCCCTTTGAAAACAGGGGATGGCTTTACAATGAAACCAAAGAAAGCAACAAAAATCTAACCCCCAAAACCAAGAACCAACGACGAGTTACATGTGGCTTTACACAGACGTACATAGAGCACACGGCTGGTCCACAACACCCGCCAGAAAGGCTGGCTCCCTCCTGGGGCCTATTCCCAATGAAAGGTTAGGATGGGGTATCCTGCCTCTCAAACCCACTGCACCCTCTCCAAATCCAGCACTCACAGCCCATCCATACTCATCCCAAAGCTTCCCTCCCACCTCTATAAACCCAGACCCACGTTCTCTGTCCCTGCCCTTCCCCATCCCCAGTGCTGCTGGCTGGAGGGTTACCCACCGCTGAGCCCCTTCCCCTGCCCAGGGGGAGGCAGGACCCTATGGGAGTGCCCTGGCTTCCTCTGGTCCCCAGGCATTCCACAGGGATGTGCTCTCAAGGAGGGGAGGCTGCAGCTCTGGTCTGAGACCACCATGCTGCTGTGAGTGTGGACACCCAGGAGATGCATCTCAATTGGGAACTGCTGCCTTTTGCTGAGGTGTTTGTAAATACAGCTCCTTCAATTTGGTTTGGGTGCAGTGGGATCCTTCTGGAATCACCTGGGAGATGCCAAGGACAGCAGTTGTTCTCTGCAAAACAGCACCAAGCTCAGGGCAGAGAAGTGGCAATGGGATTATCACTCCAGGCATCCTACCTCCCTATCCCTTCCCTCTCTGGAAACACCCCATCAGCCCAGCGGTGCCCAGCTCCAAACCCCTTATCCACTGCTGGCTCTGGACTGTCTTAAAATGCCCCAGCCACTCCGTGGTGCCAGGTGGGATCTGCTTGGAAAGACGGAGCGGGAGTGGAGGAGATGAGCTTCTCCATCTCCCTGTCTTCTGACTTTGGGGAGCTGGCACCCCATGGCTGCCCGGGAAGCTGGGGCTGGGAGCAGTCGGCACACAGGGCATGCGTTCACCTTGGGAAATGGATCAGAATCTGTTTCCTGGGTCCTGGAGATAAAACAAAAACCAACAAAACAACAGGCCAGACGGCAGCTTTGGTTAAGGCTGAGGACAGGGGACACAGGGACAAGCATGAGGGACCGCGTGGAAGAACCTGGGGCTGCAGGGAACCTCTGGCCCCAGCTGGAAGCATCCCAGCTGGGAAGCCCTGGGGATGAGGCAGGGCTGGCTCTCAGCGCCAAAATCCCCTTCGCAAACACAGGCTGCAGGAGGAGAGACCTGTGAGAAGCCAGGGGCTGGCTCTGCAGTGCTGGCTGCCAGGGCACCGAGGGGACCGGCCAAGCCACCAACAGAGCCATCGCTCAGACCCCTCCATCCCTCCCTGTGCCCACCGCTTCCCAGCATCCTGCCTTGGCACTGGGAGCAGCAAAGCAAAGCCAGGCAGGGGCAGGGGAAGGGGCTACGGCCTTGGAGGAGGCACGAGGGGCTCCAGCTCCACACCATTTGCTCCTTCTCCAGCTGGGAAAGGCAAAGGGGGCTGAGCCAGATCCCCCCGCCCTGCCCGGTCCCCTGGCGAGGAGTTAAAAGCCGTGTCTTTCCGGGGATAACGATTCTATTATAAATAGCCCCATTAGCTACAACTAATGACAAAAATCCACCTCCTCTACTCCCCATAAGTTCTGTAAGTTATGGGCAATGCTACAGCCATTACTAAAAGCTGTTAACTTCATATCTGAATGAGGAAATATACACCACAGAACATTAAACCATTTATATTATATATATGTATATATATACTTTGTTTAAACTAATGACTTTAATGCCAAAACTTTGCTGAACCAAGAAAAATATGGGTTTAATGTTCTCTGCTCATTTTTTTTTTCTTCTTCTTTAAAAAAAATACAACCCAAAAAAAAAAACAAACCAGAAAGGGAAACTTATTAGTATGTAATGTTTGAGTCTATCCCATTTATACACAACATTGTAAACATATATAATCTATATTACATGTGCTTCATTTCTGCCTGGGTGTGGGTTTTTCTTTCCTTTAAACTTTATGTTTTATCACTAGAACACCACAAAACGGAACCAAACCAAAACCCAAACTGAACCAAATAAAAACAAAACCAGAACAAAACTGAACGAAGAACACAAGTTACAGGTTATTTAACATCTTCCTGGCAAGGGTCCCTTGTCCCCAGGTCTCCTGGGGTCAGAGTGGTGAACCTCACAGTCCAAAGGAGGGCTCACGAGCCATCCGCGATGCAAAGCCAGCTCCAGGGGACGGGTGATGGGGAATACTGGTACTTAAAAAAGGGGGCTTCACAACAAAGGGTTTGGTTTTGCCCGCTGCGGGTGCTGAAGGAGGTCTCAACACGCGAGCCCACTGCTCCTGTATCCTCGAGTCCGTGCCTGGAGTCTCTGCTTTGTTTGTAACCTTTCATCTTCTCTGAATTTTAAAAGGTCTTTTTTGTTGTTGCTGTCGTTCCTCTCCCCCTTGGTGTGATGGATGAGCTGAGCCGAGTAGCTGGGGCCTGCCCTCCCGCTGGGTCCTTCATAAGTAGATGCGCCGAAGGTCTCCGGGAGACGTGATGGTGTTGCACTGGGGACAGAGCTTCTTGGCACCCTGCAACCGGCAGATGAGATGAACGGTGTGAGAGAGGGAAGGAGGACAACCTGCATGGCCCTGCCCTTGGCCTGGGACCTCAGGGGGAGCAGCACAGGAGCAGTGAGGCCATTCCACTTCCCCTCCAAGAGGACCATGTCCTCCCAACAGCAGGTACAAGCTGTGAGAAGGAGAAGCCCCAGTGCCTTTCTTCCCTACCCCGCAAGCCCCTCATCCCACTGCAGTCCCCAGCACAAGAGCCCTGGGAGAGGAGTCTTTGCAGATGGATCATCCTGAGCCCCATGTCCTGCTGCGCTATGACCGCTGGCTTCTGGGAGAGCTGCTCCTTTCTGCTTCCCTTGCTTACCTACAGCCCTCACTGAGCCAATTCAGGTCACTGAGCAGGCAGAAACCCAACCCAGAAGGAAGAAGCGCATGGTGGGGATCGACCATCCCTTTCAGGGCAGCACACCAGGGGACTGCCTCAAACCCAGAGCTGCTGGCATGAAGGGAACCCCATCCTGTCCCCTCTCAGCTCACAGAGATGCGGTGGAGATGAGTGCTCTGCCAAGGTGAGCTACAACCATCAAGCTGTGATGTGAGCTGGGTGAGGAAATGGGCGGCCAACACGAACACGACATGAAATAAACCAAGGGCTGATGTGCCATCTGTCACCGAGCCTGACAGCAAAAGAGTGTTAATAAGCCTCAGAATCGGGGTCAACCTAAGCCGGTCATCATTAGATTGGCCGATGTGACAGACAGTTGATGAGAAAAATGACAGAATGATGTCTCTGCTGCAAGGCAGTCTCCCATCTACAGCACCAGCACAGGAAACTGGGATGTCCTGGCTTTAAACACTGACCACAGCATCGACACAACCTCCCTCTGCACACAGCTGAGCGCAGGCTCTGTGTGAGCACCCCAAGTTTGCTCACTGCTGTCAGGCCCTCCCTGCAGCTAACACCCAGTGCTCGGTGTGACAAGCAAGCTGCCAGGGATGCAGCATGCTGTGAGAGAGCTCGCAGGCTCTCGCTGACAGAACTGAAGCCATTCAGTTCAGTGCTGCTGCTGCTGCTGCTGCTCTTCCTTAGCAGGGCTTGTTTCAGTAGCTGCGGCAGTGAGTGGGCAGCTTGCAGGACATGGATGGAGTGGCACGGCAGGACCATGATCTGCCATGCTGCTTTGGCACTGCTGCCTGCACTTGGGTACATCCCTAGCACCACTGCTTACAAAAGGCAAGCATCTTTAGGAAAGGTCCTCTCTGCTCTGTGACAACACCTGCAGAGACAGGACAGGGGCTTTCTCCCCTAGAAGCTTCTTGGATTCAGGAGAATCTGGAGAGGACAATCCTAGGAACAGAGAAGTTAAACAGGTACAAGTAATTCACAAGGATGCAGCTCCAAAGAGGTGCAAGTCATGTTTGCTCTGCACTACTGAGTACTACCAAAAAGCCCCTGCAGACCAGCCAGCCTTGAACCCTGCTCCCATTATTCCTGGTAGACATGGACTTTGCATGCTTGCTGCTCCTCAAGCTTTGGACTTCTGAGCAATCAGGCTCTCATTTGAAACCCTTTGCTGCTCGTGGCTGAGCTGCTGCTCTGACACATGTTGGAACCACAGGCACTTGCACCCAAGATCTAAAATAGCCATGCATAAAGTCCTGTTGAACTACAGTTGAATTAAACACGTAACACACCCAAGACACATCTGACATCACTCTCAGGGTGAATGACAGAGCGCTCGTGCCTTGGATGGTGGACCTCGCTGTGGTGCTGATGCCTATGGGCACATCCTTCCAGCTGTCTGGGACCTATCCCATCCTCTAACTACCGTGTCTATTTAGATTTTCAGCATTCTGGGGCAGGAAGCATCTCACTGTGCCTGCGCAAGGCACTGGGCAACCCCATGCACCAGTCTTTGCTGAGTGCTGGATTCTGGGAAGAGCAAGCACAAACCACAGTGGGAAAGAAAGGCTTAAAAGCCTGATGAAACTGAAGACTGACTGCACTGGACTTTAACAGAGCCTGTTTATATAACAAGCCCCTTTGCTCCTGCTTAAGTCCAGAGCTTTGGATTGGAGATCCAAAGCTGCATTAGATAAGGACAAGCTCTACGTCCCTCAATGTCCCAGTAAAAACTTCCTGCAGCAGTTACAACAGGTAGGACAGAAAAACCTACACATCTGCCCCTTCTGCCACATTTAAAACCATTGTGGGTCAGGCTACATAACAACACTGCTCAGGAGGGGCTCACTGATCTGGATTCAAATGTCACAAAAGAGCCTGTTTCAATTGACTCCCTGCTCAGGCCTGCATTGCCATGCAGTCCCCAGGTCCTCAGAGGCGCCTGTTGCATCTGGCTGGCCTCTTCAAATCATCTTTGTAGCTGAAGTGTCCCAGGGGAAGTGGCAGGGAGGTGCTGAGGAATTAATTCACACCATGTTGTCAAAGGGGCTGCAGCTGGCAGCTGCCCTGTGAGCCCTGACAAGAAGCGTGCATGGGGACTTTAAGGCATTCCAGATGTGACTCCTGCACACATCTGTGTTCATGCTCTCCTTCCCTAGACAGGCACAGCTTAATGGCAAGAAGCAGCAAAGCATCCAACCAAGTAGCTGGAGCCTCTCCTCTGAACAGTGCACCAGGGAGAGAGGTACCTTCTGCAAGACCAGTCTCCTGAGCCATGAAACGCCTCAAAGGATGCTTGCTGCCCCCCTGTTCCTCAGTGCTCCTGTGCAATGCTGTACAGCATTTCAGTAGTTATTCCCTTTTAGCTCTGCTGAAGCTGGAGATGTTTGTCTGTTGGTGCGTGGGGAGGAGCCCCCCCTTGAGTTAACTTCTTCTAAAACTAAACCTCAGTGCTGCCATCTCACTGCATCTCGTGCTCCCTTCTGGGATTTGGAGGTGAACTAAGCCAGCCGCAGGCACATGTATGTGGGCCGTGGCAAGGGCAACCTCGCTAACACATATCAGAGACCTCCTTGTGGGAAATTCTGGAAGGACAGATTCCTGGAAAGCTGCTCTGCCCCGGTCTCTCCAAAGGCTGTGCAGGTGCTTGCTATAAGCAGAAGTCCTCCACAGTCAGCCCACAGGATGGCAGAACAAGCCTGATTAAACCACTGCAGCTTTGCTCTCTCTTCCATGGCGAAGTAAGATCAGGTGTGTAATTCCTTCACACCACAGGGAAGGGAAGATGAGTGGATTTGCCCTGCCATACCCCGGGATCTCTGTCCTGGAGGTTTGCTTTCTACATCACATGCTGACGGCTGTAGGGAGACCCACTCTCCCATGCCTAAGGCACATGTGCAGCCAGGGCCATGTTTTCAATCATGCCAGAAAGCAGAACACAACCACGTGTAGCCTGACCCATTTTCTGCAGAAGCTTCATGATCACAGACTGATTTAGGGCAGTGGTGGATGTTGCTTCACCTGTACGTGGGAAGAGCAGCTCTTCTCGAGCTCTGAAGCCTGGGTACATTGGAGGGAATAATGGCATCCTAGAGCTCTTCAGCAGCCTGGCCCGAATGCTGTGCAGGCTGACTGCACAAGGCATGCTGGGCTCGGGTCTCCGGGTCTCCCTAGTACTTATGCTTGGTATTAAACAGTTCAAGCAAAAATAATGACTTTGGACCCTTGGGGAAGCCTTTCTCTTTTCTCTTTTTTCCCCCTTTTAAATAAAACTGTCATCCCCTGCACACATAAGCATGTGTGTTAAATTGAGAACTAAGTCCTGATTTTTTTAGTCCTTTTTACATTGAAATTGCTTAGAACCTTATTCCTTACATCTGACTTTTCGATGTAGGTGTGCAACATTTATTGGCACGAGCGTTTAAGCTCTCCTGTCTTGTAGAGAGGCACATAAGCTTGTACACACACACATGCTGGCACAGGCACAATGAAAAAGCGTTTGCTCCCCCACTGCTCACCTGCCAGCTGGGGTTACTAAACTTTTCCCTTGAAATAAAAATGCTGTGGAATAATAAGTCCCACCTGTCGGCCATTTCTTTCTTTCTTCTTTTTTTTTTCCAGGTCCTTCTGCTCTTTTCATCATGGCTTCATGGAAAAGCCTTGATGTGTTATAGCTGCGTGTGCTAGAGTAAAGGCCACCTCAGCTTTTCCATTATAAACCCCAGTTTTGAGGGGTTTATAAAACTCTGCTGCAAGAAGTTTGCTCCAGGGCTGCTACAAAGCAATGCAAAGGGGCTGGAAACCAGGATGGAGTTTATTTTTTCTCCTCCTTTCTTAATTAAAATTTGGCAAGTGATTGATCCACAATACAGGCTAATCACTTGGGGTCCTAGTTTGAAAAATACATTAATGAGAGCTGAGATGTTGAGAAGTCGTTAGGGCTCAGATGGTGCCAGGAAGGATTGGAGGATTTTGTCTTAAAGTTGCCTCTTAAAAACCAAGAAATGGTGTGACGTCTGCTATAAAGTGGCTAAAACAAGAAAACTCAAAAGGAAGGATTTAGGCACTTCCTGCTGTCCTGTGGGTCCTAAAAATGGGCCATTTCCAAGCTGAATATACTACCAGGCACAGAGAATAAAGAGACACACACAGAGCAACTTTGCCTACACAGTGCTACCATCAAACCTAGGCTTAAAGCTTGCCTAGCTTAGAGGTAGGAAAACCTCTAAAATGTGACAGGACCTCTAAAAGGTGACTAGAGAGACCCAAACTAAGAGCCAGCTTCTGCTAGGAGGAGAACTGAACTCCAAGATCCAATTCCCAACAGAGGCAACAGCCCGTCTCCCTCCCCTGTCTCCACATGAAGTGGCAGCTGCTTCTCTGCAAATGCTAATTCCCAGAGAAGCAGCCATTCACTGCCGTTGGGGGGTTTCCACCGGTTATCAGGGTTAAAGCAACCAGGAGAGCAATCTTTATCACAAAGACCCCCCCAAAAGGGTGGCGATCACCCCCACAGGTTTTGGGAGGCCAAAGCTGAAGTATGTTAATAAATAACTGGATAACCTCACCACAGATAGAAACAGTGAAGGATCAAGCACAGCACTGTCCATGCAGCTGCTGACCCAAAGGTACCTATGTTGCTGGAAGCACTAAGGAATCCCCCCGAAAGATAGCTCTGTATCTGCACTGTTCTTACAAACCTGCTCCAGCCCACATGGGACATACATTATTATAGCCTAGAAAAAGCGATGAGGCTAAGAACGTAGTAATCTACCAAAGATATAAATGTGTCAACTGCAGACCATACACATCTATCGACGGGTCCCCTGGAAGCACATTCTCTGTGAAGAAGGCTTTTTAGAAGTGGTATTTTCCTGCTCTTGCAGTTGTCATTTTCAAATAGGCCCAAGACAGGCAAGCACAAGCCTGGGGTCTGCAAATACACACAGGAAATGCTGGACCCAGTACAGGTGATGGGGGAAACTCAGCAAATGGCATCTGCCCAAATAAAACCGCCCTCTTTCAGCCCCTGCCTGCTTGCACCCACCAACAGCTCCACCACTGACTTAGCTTTGAATGCTATTTACTTCATAAGGAAGGACACCAGGGTTTGGGAGGTCACAGAACTATAGCTCAGAGGGACATCGAGAACTCACTGACCCATTCCCCAGCAAGATCACCTCAACCTGAATTACTGCTGATGGACACGCACCAAACCTGTTCTCACACACCTTCAAGGACCTCTCCAGCAAAGCACTGCAGCAAACTGCCAAAGCACTCTTCTCAGGAGAAGGAAAATATGAATCTCAGTCACCAGCAGCTCAAGTTAATGGGGAAGGATGGAGAAGAGGCAGATAAACCTCTGCTAGAGGGAGATTCATCCCCCATCACCCAGTGACTCAGGGCTGCAGTACAACAACCCACAGAGGACAGATACCTGCTGCTAGGAGGACTGACATCCAGGGAAATGAATCCCACCTCCTGCTGACCAGGCTGAGCTTCCTTCCTGCAGCACCATTCCCTCTCCTGTCTTGGAAGAGCCAGCACATGTTTTCAGGACTTTCCAAAAGGGATCACAGGGAAGTCATTCCAGGCTTATATCCCAGTTTCTGTGTTACCTGAAGATGTCAACTAGATCTCTGCACGCAGGAAGGATGAATGAAAAATATCACTGTGTTGAGTGCCCCAGACAACCAGCAAGCAGGGAGTAGCAAGCTCACTGGTGAGATTAGACACAGCAATACAAAACCAGCAGACAAACCCAGCCAATAGGATTTCCTGGGAACCTAGGCACGATTACATGGCATCAAGTAACACCTTATTGTCTCCTTCTGCTTGCCTCCATTCTCTGTTTTGCCTACAACTACAGAGCTGCCCACAGCGCACACAGTGTACAGCACATCTTTAACCTGTGGCCCCTGGACCAAAGCCCTCGGGGAGAACAGTTCTGCTCACATAGCAAGTGGAAGGAGAGAAAACCATTAAACTGTTCCTCCCTTTCTCCACAGCCCTGAGGAGGACTGTCTAGCCAAGCAGCTCCTACTGGCACTGAGGTGCAGTCTAACTCAGTGAGCACCGTGATCTCAGTTCTCTTAAGCCATCTCCAGGGTCCCTTTCTGCAGCCCTAGCCTTTCCTTCATGCTAATCCAACACACCAACAGGAGACAGAGATGGAGTCTCCTCTGGTGAATGTTTCATCCCCCACAACTTGAAGTCAGTTGGATGCACTCAGCTCTAATATAATGGTGCCAAAGCTAGAGAGTCCAGCAAACATTTGTAGAGTCAGTGGTTAAATACATCTATCCCTCTCCCTTAGCAACTGAACAGTTATAATTTGGAACTGGACATCAAGAGCCCAAAGTCCAAAAGCTTCATCTTCAGAAAGCCCAAGTGCTCTAAAGATCCAATCCTCATCAGTGCCCTAGACACCACTGAAGTCAGGGGATACCAGAGATGCTCAGATCCTTGTAGCATTGTATCCTAGAAAATGCTTAAGCCTTTTAAAACCCACTTCACCTCCTCTGGTCTATAGACAGAGGTGCACATCAAATTTCACCCTGTCTTCAATACCCTGCAGAGGTTTAGAAGTGCTCCCAGGCACTGTGAGCCTCCAGTTCCAGGGCCTTGTTCAATACACGGTCCTCCCTCTCTCCGTCTCTCTCAGACACACTCACACTCTAATTTAACATTAGATCTTGGCTGGGCACACAAACCACAGGCGCATAGGAGAAAGGGGACTTTTCACCAGCAGGGATGGCAGATCTCCAGAATGTTCAAAAGGGGCCGGAAGCCCGACACAACCCACCCGCCCCAGCTCCTATTAACTCCAACAAATTGTTTATTGCACAACAGAAGAAAAACGTTGCCCCTTTTCCCCGGCCAAGTCTTTCCATGTGTGCTGCACGCGCAGGCTCCCTCCTCCTGCCCCTGCTGGGGAGCCAGCTTTATACCCAGGGAAAGGTAACGGCGGCGATTATTACACACACTATCCCACAGCTCCTCGCTTGTTAAAAAACACAAGAGTCTCTTTTGTGCCCGAAATAAAAGGAGATACCTTAATTAGAACAATGCAGGTTGGTGAGCATTAAACACTGAGCCCAGCTGCTGTATGCCATTAAATTCATAAAAACAAGGAGGGGGGAAGGAGGGCAGTCTTAACGAGATTACACACATTGACTTTGATCAAGACACAAAAGCACCAAGGCGTTCCAGGGTTTTTATTGCTGTCTTCGGGCTACATTTTAATGGTTACATTAGAAACATGCGAACACAGGCTGGGAGATTTTTTTTTGAGACGGGAGAAGGAGTGCAAGCATGCCTTGTGAAAAGGCCTGCTTTAATAAATTGGGGGCTGCAGGGAGAGGCTGGGGCTGGGGAACACATGAGTAGCCACTTATTAATTGCTTCCCCTATGCAAGTGCCAAGTCCTAATATGATGTCTTGCTGGACTATTCCCATCCCGCCTGCCTGGCCGGCAGAAGAGCCGTGTGCGGAGAGCACACAGCCAGCTCCATCCCCACCTTCCGCAGGGAATTCTAGAGGAGATGGCTCCCCCCCGCAAGGGTAAATGCTAATCACTGAGTACGTGGAATGGGATTTCCCCATCCCCACGAGCAGCAGTAACCACAGTACAAGAAACAAAGGCGCCTGACTGAAGTTGAACTAAGTAGCTGCTGAGGCTAAGAACAACCTGAAATTAGTGCCACGGATTTAGAAGATGACTTGAGGCTGGTGGGAAGAGGAGAAGACAAAGACTTCAGAGTAAAGAAAATGAGACAGAAATCAGTGTTTTATCCTCTATTACAGCACCGCTAAAGGACAAGATCACTCTTCACTTAGCAAAGGTGGCAGAGCACACATTCATCCAAACACCTCCCAGCTATGTACCCACATATGTGTCTTTTATAACATGCTGCTAAAATGTTTACAAAAGCTTGTATAATCTAAATAGTGACGGGGTGTAGCTGAAGAGCTATAAAATACAGCCCAAGGGATAGCCAAGTTATTGAGTTGCTATTAGTTACTCAAGCCCACAGGCACTTCACCATCCTGGTAACTTTTCTTGGACAAGACTTTTAAAAGGCAAGATTTAAAGGAGTATGATCAGCTTAATCGTAATTCCAAGCACACAACATGTTCTATAAAGTAGATTTAGTAATGCCTTACAGGAATGGTTTTTAGGAGTGGCATTCCCTTGCATTTTTTGGCAACCCAACACTGTATCATCTTGCTAACAGGAGAAGTAGAAAGCGTAACTGACTATATTCCACTCCCCAGCCTGGGCAAAATGAAAGCTTGAAAATCAGCTGCACAGGGGACATTAAGGGCTGATTATAAAGGCCACAGTTCTAACACAGGAAAGGAAAACACTTAATTTAATAATGCCTTAAATTTTAACCTGATCTCCTTTAATACATGTGTAAATTACTACTGCACTGAATCACCTATTCAGTGTTCAAGGCAGTCCCCAATCTTCAAAACAGAATGGCATACACATGAAAAATGCACAGTGCTGTTTCAAATAATCTGAAAAATACAGATTCATATTCATAAAAGCTCCCTTTCATATCTTGTATCCTGAAGATGATTCCCTTTGCTTCATGGGGAATATTAGGTTTCTCAGAAGCTACCCATTCCATGAAATCTCAGTGGATTTGGCCTCCATTCTCACAGCTTTACCCTTCTGCCTGGCTGTCCCAGAGGAAACTACTGCAAGACAAGGTTGTCCCCAGCACAGACCTCTTACATGAGCAATGTCTGTCCCCACAGCAGCAGAGGAGCAAGCGAGGGGCAGGGCTACACTTTGGTCATGATGAATCCAATGAAACTCATTCAAGTCAAAGCCAGAATGGGGTTTTGAACTGCAAGGCTTGGGAAGTCTGCATGCACAGCACTCAGTTTAAAATAAAGCAAAAAGCACCTTTCCCTGTGGTGATTTAAAATAAAGTATCCCAGAAGAGAGGAAAAAGCCTGTAAGACAACAAGAAAGTAAACAAGAGCCTCACCAGAGTCCGCAGCCAGCATTCTTCACAGTGCACATGCCAGCACTGAATGGAAGTCAGGGGCATTGTGTAAGAGTCCTGAAGAGAAGAAGCAAAGAGATTATTGCCACAGCAGGGATCTACTGATCCTTTGCTCCCAAGCCCATCACAATGTCCTTCTTTGTGGATAACATTGCCTTCTATTTTGCATTAAAAAAAGTAAGCTTGTGCGATATGTAAGTTTGTATTTCTGTAATGTTTGTCTAGTAGAGGCAGAGAGTCCCCTGCAGTCCCTTTTTCTGACTTCCCAGAACTCCTGTTGGAAGCCCACAGTCCACTCAAGTGGCGACCTGGCTCAGCAGTTATCACAGGAGCATCTGAAGTTGCTGTAGCCACCTGCCATCACTCTCATTGTAAGGTCACAGAGCATATGAAAACCAGTGACAGGGTAAGATTAATCCTTACCCCAACTCTTAATTTGGCAGGAACAGTTTAACTGCATCCTAAAAGTGCTGCTGGAACGTCAGTGCGCAGGCCTTGAGTATTTTCTATCATTGTGAATAAACCTCTGGAAATCAGCAGCAAGCTGCTTAACCTGAGACACAGACTGCGCTTCCACACCTACAAACCGTGAGGTGGGGGAGAGAGCACCATGCATCAAGCTGAAGTTGTAGAGGGAGCCCTCACCAAGCAGAATTTTCTCCTATCAGCAGGGTAAAAACCTAACAGCAGATGTGAAACTTTACAGGCTCACACCATCAGAGGGAGCTGCTGCTCTTCTTGAAGAAGGCCACAGCATCACCACAGAGCAAGCAGGACATCGACAACTTTTAAGCACTCAGGCAGCATTCCTGTTTCCAAATCACATTATGAGTCTCAGAACACAGTTTCTGCTCTCTTCTATGGATGTAAACCTGTACATGCAGGAAGGGGAAGTTGTTATCTGGGAGTTTTGTATAGGAAGGCTGTAAGCTGTCTCAAGTTGTGGCTTTTCTACCCCTTATACAGATGGACAGCTACAAATACCAGCGGAACGGTGTAATGCATATAGAAATTTCAATTGCTAAAATAACCCAGCACCTTCATATAAAAGGCTGATTGGTGTAGAGGGACAAAAGTGAGTTCCCCCACTCTACCAAAAAAAGGAGACAAGCCTCTCTCCTCCTTAGCAAAGATACCAAGGCATTTCTGATTCATTACCACAAGTGGAGTGCTACTCACCATGCAAATGAGACATTTATAGCGGTCCCCACGGGAAAGCTGCCTTTCTAACTCACGGACACGAGCCTTTAACGCTTCAAATGTTGTCACTGCCGAGTCTTCTGTAATTCTGCAAAAGATGATGGAGAGTGAGCATCACTGAGCACACAAGACTGGTTAAGAGTCTGGGAAGAAATGGATCCCATCACAGGTACCACACAGGAAATGGCAACATCCAACTTGGGCTGCAGAAGAATTCCTGGAAAGCCCAGTGTGAATTCTTTGAGGTGTCCTACTAAACACTTCCAAACGCATCATGACAGAACACAACGGTGCTGGGGCTGCCAGCTTCACAGAGAGCAAGTTTCCGCAAAACACAGGCATTTAAGGAACAGATTTGTTTGCTTTTTGCCTCTTATCCCCCTTAAGAGATTCCTCTAGGACAAAATGCTCTGGACAAAGTTCTGTACATTGCTCTGAAGCTGGTGAGATAACTTTCTGTAGACGATAGGAGCTGCTCTTCCCCATAGAGAATAAATGTCTTTGCTGGCCATCAACCAAACCACAAAATCAGCTCATTACACAAGATAACACAACACTTTTATATTACAGGAACTCCTAGCTTTTTAGGCTCCAATACTGAAAAAAAGAAGAAAACAAAGCGATGGACACTGTGCCAAAGGGGCGGCTATAAAAGCAGCTTTACAATCTCTGCTTTCCCATTTCCTAGGGTCATTTTTGATGGGCAGCATTATCTCTTTTGTCACACAGGTGCTGTGCTGAGGGCAGACAAGTGTATTTTCATGGTTCTGCAAGGCTGGTGAAAAGAGCAACTTGCCAACCTAAAAGCAAGGGCAGACAGCAACGCTTAGCAAATGAGATGCAGGGAGCAATGTAGACAAGGATGTGTCACTCCAGCATGCTGCAAAAATCCCAATTTCTACAGTGCAGACAGGGAGGGACCCTCAAGCATTCCCCAGAAAAGGTTTAGAGCTTTTACTGACATTAAAGCTTTCACTCTTCTGAAAAAACAAACCAGCAATTGTCATGTAAGTCAGTGAACTTCAGGCCTGTCCAAGCAGAACCAGCTCAGAAGAACCTGCAAAGTACCCTCACCACCAGGAGGTGCATCAATCACAGCATAACCCACAGCGGCACCTACATGTTCTGCCTTTTTAGAGCATGATTCATCAACAGGTGGCTAAAACATAGGTCTAGTGGAATCACTGCAACTAATAAAGTGAGCTGCAGTCTCAGTACTCCTACTGCACGCATACATTCACTCCTTTGTTCATTAGTCACTTATTGCCAGCACGCAGGGAAGAACCTGAGGTATCTCCCTTGAGGTGACTGCTGGCTTCTCCCAAGGCTCTGGAAACAACTAGTTAAAAACCTTGACTGATTGTCTAATTATGACACTTCAGAAGAAACCGCAGCTGCAGGAGTGTGTCTGGTTAAGTACCAGTGTTACAGAGCTCCTCCAAGTTCACTCCTGCCTTTGCACGCATCAGACGCTCTCTGCACGAGTTAACTGTGGGAAGATCTTCATCAGGAGACTCATTGCAAATGACAGCTGCTGTGAAATGGTAACGATTTTAAAACTGCAAAAAAGGCAAAGAAACGCACATGTCCCCTGACAGACCAGTGGGTGAGGATTGCCTAGGGACAGGGACACTGTGGATTCAAGTCTGCGTATCCATAAATATTCTTTGGAGTGAAATGAAAGAGCTTCAGTAGCAGACAGTGCTCCCTGCTGTGAACCACCCACTTGCTCCTACTCACTGGGATAAATTATTACCGCATCCCAGCTTGGGTTCTCGCCCTCAAGGAAGAGTTGTTAGTGTTTTCAAAGAAAGTCTAAAAGGTGTTAGTTTTGTCCAAGGAAGAAAGAGAACTATTTATTTATAGCTTGAAGACCATTCTTGAATGAGAAAATTATTTCCCTTCCAGTCTAGCCTGTCAACAAGCTGATGCTAGATGAAGGCTGCAGCTGAACTTGACTTTCTGAAATCCACTTCTTCCAGCACGAGTAAGGGCACTGGAGGTGTAAAGGCAGTGAGTGTGGCTTCTGCCAAAAGTAGGTGGCAAGCAGAGCCTCAACCCTTGCTAAATTCTCTTATTACTATCTGTGGAGCTATCTGTCCTCTGAAGGGCAGGCAGCTCAGCAAGGGAAAAGTTGATTCCTCGAACAGATCCAAGCAAAGGCATATCCATCCCCAAGCCCACCCCAATAACAGTCAAAGGAAACTTTTTCACTGTTTCACAAACAGTGAAAAGGAAAAACTTGCCACTGCAACAACCAGAGGAGATAGAAAATGGCTTGTTTATAGAAGCCTAAATGGCTGACCCCCATTGGCCAATTTCGGAAAGTCTCCCAGATAATCGTACCTGTCCAGTAATAAACGAATGAATCAGAAAAGGAGGCTGAATAGAGGTATAAGCAATAATGCTCAGAGGCTGCCTGATACAATGGCCAATCAATAGGAGGGCTGTAGATCAGGGTGCTAGTTAGCTGGAAAATTACCGCACCGCTGCGTGCGTCACGCTGTAGGGATCCTGGACAATCAATGTGGGAGGTATTGATTTAGTTATTATCACTTCATACGCTCCAGACATTGTTAAATATACATTTATTAACAAGGCTGGGGTGCATTGGTAAGAGAGGGAGCTTTAGCCACTGCAATATCTCCCAGTGCTGATCAAAGCTCAGCTGTGACAGACTTTAAACCCCATGATCTCCCTGCCAAGTGTGCATTCAGGACAAATCCTGATGCACAGTGTAGTGCTGAAGATGCAGCTCCTACCTCAAAAAAGAGAGGTTTTGGCCGTAAGCGAGTATTTTGCACTTGAGAATTCAGGAAAGCCTCTTGGAGCAGCAGCAACCAGGGACAAGGCGGCCAAGGGTCAACCCAAAGTGAATGATAATTGCATGGCTGCTTCCAAAAAGCCAGAGGAAATGAGGTCAAGGGAAATAGGGAGAACATTAGTAAATAAAGGAAACTGGAACTACCTCCAGGGATAGAATAAAGACAAGAGTCACTTCCCATGTGTCTGGCTCCCGCGGTGGCCAGCACACTTGGGACACATGCCATTCCATTTAGCAACATTTTACCGTCAACCTGCTGCTTGTATCCTAAAGATAAGCATCGCTGAGGAGCAACTCTTCCTGCAGCAGCAATCTTGGGAACTCCCTCAGGCTTCCCTCTTCCGTGCGCACCTCATGCGCGCTTGCCTGGACACAGCTGGAAGCAGCTTGGGCAGTATTTTTACAGGGCAATGCCAGGGTGGAGTGAGGGTCAGAAAGCCAAGCTCCACACCCAGGGTAAGGCTGTGTACAACCTACCTTGCCAAGGGAGGCAGAGGGAATTGCAGGGAAGAAGCAACTGGCTTCCACAGCCCTGCTCTCCCTGCTTTGCCTTGATCTCATGCTGGATATAGAAGGACTCTTTGAACAATTTTGCGCCTCAGTGCTCTGATTTGACGTGTTTGGATAACGTCATTTATCAGCCTCCAGAGACCTGCTGAGCACAACTGCTGCAAAAGCAATGCCTGGACCCCCAGCCCTTGCTCTTCTGGGGTTCCAGAACATGCGAGCGGCCTCACTGATGCCTGAACTGTCCTCCCTGGCTGAGGACCTATCAATAGGGCACATTCATGCTCTATGCACTGTGGACCTACATCACCACAAACAGGAGCATGAGCAAGAACACTTATACAAGAGCAAGAACATAAAGGGCTGGTTTCTTGCAGAGGAAGCTTGGTCCTGTGCTTTTCTCTGGGCTTTGTGGTTAACTCCTCAACAACTTGGCAGTCGCAGTTGAGGAAGCTGGGTACCAAGAGGCAAGTCTGCGAAACTGGGCACACGGCATGTGTTAGTTTTCAGCCTTTGTGCTAAATGCATGTTCTTCTACTGTTCGCAGCATCTCCCCCCGAGCACTGAAAATAAGAACAAACTTTCCTCCCCTGAGCAAATCCGTGCTTTGTTCAGGTAAAAGACCAGAAGAAGGGCGTAAGAATACCCTGGGTAAGGAAAAAGCACCTATCTGTAGCTTTGAGCTGTTAGTCAGCAATCACCTCCTGGGAAATTCCCCTGGGAATCAGCTGCCCCCCTCTTTGCAAAAGGAAAAATAGACTTTAACCCAAACACTGGTTATTTGTTAAACATTAGCATGCATGTGATCTTTGTTTCTCCAAATTAAATCGAGCAATTGCTACCCGCTGTCCCAGTGGGCAATCACAAGCAATTCCGTTAATTAAATTATCTCTGATTCTGCAGCTCTGGAATCTCTCAATTGACTAAGTCTGTGCTTTATCATCAACAAAATACTGGACGGAAAAGGAAACAAAAAATGCTGATGTCAAAGTGATTGGCTTCAGTTAACCCTTCCCAGCTGGATATCAAGGGCTACTCAAGGAACTATTGCACTGGAATGAGCCCAAGAGCAAGAGCCTTGTACCAGAGATACCAGTAGCAGCTGTTCACTTGTGTTTCCTTTCCTTTACGCAGAAAATCCACCACACTATTACGGCCTCCAGTATCCTGTGTATCTGAGAGCCACAGAAAGATGCAAACTGTTCACTACTGAAGAAGCAGAAAAACATCTCAAAGATCTGTGAGCCCCCATCCTCCCTTTACCCAGATCTCTCTCGATGTACCCTGCTGTTGACAAGTCTCCATAAAACATTCCCCTCTGGTTTATTTCAACTGGATATAAATTTCCCTTTCTTCATAAATGGCCACACTGTACACAGCATTCCATAAATTTTTACAATTCCACCGTTTGTATGTACCTTGTAAAAAACGCTTAGCACTGATTAAATGCACCACCAATAAAATTTCATGGGCTACTTTTGACACTTGATATTCTGACCTTCTTCCCTCTTCCACATGTATTTATTTGTGTTTTCGTATGCCTGTAAACACAGAGTGGAAAATGTACAGTACTGCTGATAAACCTGAGAGTGATGTCTTCATTTTTAAACAAAGCCTTTATTTTCCCTTGTCTGGGGTGAAGAACCTGATCCCAGCAGAACATACATGCCTCTTCCCTACACCAGGGCCAGAGGTCAGGTCACTAGCAGCTTACATATCATAAATATTAGAAACAGACTGGTCGATGTTTTGAAGAC